CGAACCTGACTGGAATTGGAACTTGATTCTGATTTTCATTTCCGAGCTGTCATCCATTATACCACCTGCACATCCAAACTTGCAATCACCTATCTAGTTACTGATGAGGCGCAACATTGATTAAATTTGAAGACAGACAGACATACTATTTGAAATATTGTTGAACATTGTCAAACACTGTGTCTTTTTTCTTAAATCATGCTCTGCTCTCAGTGTTGAAAAATATTGGAAGAGTTACATCAACCATTTTGTTTTCTAATAATGATGATGATAATAATCATAATGTTGTTAGAGTATATAATATTATGAAAGAGCCAAGCTAGGTAGAAATGGTCATCTAAAAAAAAAAAAAAAAATATCATAGCCCACAGTAGTGAGTGTTTGGGAAAATATTAGTCTTTTTAAGACTATTTTTTTTATTTATTTTATATGCTGTCAATTATGGTGTGTACTAAAATTAAAACTGCTAACTTACAGTGGCCTAATAAGCAATAAAAGTCAGTCTCCTGATTTTCCAGCCATATGCTTCAAGAACCATGCAAGATTAACTAATTTGCTAAACTAAGAGCAGTCAGTTAATAATCTAAGATAATATGCCAAGTTTATAACCTAAGATAATATAACAAGTTTATTTGTCTGTAATTTTTGTTATTATAAAACAAGCATATACATGGCATAACAGATTGGTGCCATTATATACATATGTGATAAATGACAAATTATAGTTTTAAGGTATGCTATATTTATAGGGTAAAAGTGTTCAATATCCAGAATGTGTGTGAAAATGTATGTATAAATATATAAATAGTTTAGCTAAGATCTAACCCACATGGCCTGAAGATTGCATTAAAGCATGAAACAAACTGTTGATGTAAATGTTCACACTTCACACGTGTGTGTGTAAAAATTCAGGTATAAATAAAATATATCTGTAAAGACAATATAAGTAAAAGTTAAAAGGAAAACATTTCTTTTCCAATGTGTTTCCTCCCCTGAGGAACTTTATTAACTGTGTTAAATATACTCAGGGCATTGGTAAAAAAAAGTTTTCTTTCTAACTTTTATATTGTTTTACGGATATATTTTATTTATATCTGAATTTTTACACACACACACACACACATATATAAGAAGTGTGACGACACTCTGTTTCCGGCTAAAATCCAATCTTCAGGCCATGTGTGTTGGACTATATATAATATTATATTACTAAAGACAAAAGGAAAACTATTATATATATATATAATTGTTTATTTAAAAATATGATTCCATCGCTACAGAAGAGTTCTTATGTTTCAAAACAAGAGCTGAAAACTTCAATATAATTATTTGAACTAAATTGAATTAAAGTACCAAGCTCTGTTCCATCTTCAAGCGAAATTTTTTTTTGGAATTCACTTGAAGATGGAACAGAGCTTGGTACTTTAATTCAATTTAATTCAAATAATTATATTGAAGTTTTCGGCTCTTGTCTTGAAACATGAGAACTCTTATGTAGCGATGGAATCATATTTTTAAATAAATAATTATATCTAGGCTCTAATTTTGTATCGAGCACTATTTTTAAAAAATAAAAATACTAAAGAACTTTTGATTATTTATCTAACGAGTTCTTTCCTATTTTCTATATATTTTCACACACACACATATATATATATATAATAGGAAAAATATAATATATAAGAGGAAAACTATATTATATATATATATATATATATATATATAAAAACTATATTTTTATATATATATATATATATATATATATATATATATATTATAGGAAAAACTATATTATATATATATATATATATATATATATATATAAATATAAATATTTTATTGGAAAACTATAAATATATATTATTGGAAAACTTTAATATATGTAATATATATATATATATAATAGGAAAATTATACTATATTATATAAATATATTTATATATATTTAAAAACTCACATGTGAACTTCTACTAATAGTACTTAAGAAAATGTGCCAACATTTTTAATGCCAAAGGTAAAGTAGTAAATTCCTAAGATATCTCTAACCAACTAATTGGGTACATCTTACATCTTTGTACAACAATTTCTGATTTTTTTCTCCCCATTTAATCACCCAATTCCCCAACATTTAGGACTGTTAGATAGTTAAATTAAGTAAACATTTTTCATATGAAATTAATTTATAAATATCTGAACAGGCTTAGCAGGATTCTATAAAAAGTGTAAAGCACTGAGTCCTTCATTGTGTTCACTCATTACTACACTCAATGAAGGTGGAGTTTTGCAGGGTTTGGATGAAGGATACAGATTTTGCCAATAATTATACTGTTTGCATGTAATTCTTACATTCATTGGGCTGAACATTTTCCCAGAGTAAGAAGAATTTTGCAATGTTTAGGTAAGTCTGAAAATGTGCAGTAATCTTGTAATTTAGTCCAAATTAAAAAATATATCAGATCGTGAGTTGCTAGAAAATCAATGATCTACTTATACTAAAGTTGATATTTTACATCAGGTCAAATTATGGGGCGTATTGCATGAGAAACCTCCCACCTGCCGAAAAAAGAAACAGAATTTCAAGATATGCTTTCTACATTATCTAAGTTAACATGAGATACCAAGTTATCCATCGATTTAACAAGAAGATTTAAAAAGGTGCAATTATAACAAATGGAATTCATTTTTATCTACTGTGAAAGGCTTAATATTTTTGTACCAATCTGTACATGTTCTTGATATTGACTAAGCCCTGCTTAGTATGACACAAGGCCAAATAAAAGAGTTAAAAATAAAGTAAATGCTTTCAATTAATAATCCATAACAGAATTATAGCTGTTTACTTGACAGAGTCATTGTTACTAATATCCTTATCATTGTGAAGTGTGACTGGCTTTTTCTTCACATGTGCTCTCATGTGAGAGGCAAGGTAGGGTGCCCGCTTAAAAATTCGTCCACAGAACTCACATGGGTAGCATTTCTTTTTGGCCTTGTTGTGGATCTTCAAGTGGCGTGACATACTAGAATGGTCGGAGAAGGCTTTTGAACAAATGTCGCATGAAAACGGTTTCTCTTTAGAATGGGTCCGGCGATGGTTGGCGAGAACAGATGACTGTGAGAAGGACTTGCCACACTGCTCACATGAGTATGGCTGCTCTCCGCAGCGACGGGTGGTGCCGGATAAGGGAGGAGGATTGCGAGAAACGACGATCACAGATGCTGCAGTGGAAGGGTTTCTCGCCTGAATGGACGCGGATGTGCGATGCGACATATGTGGATCTCGAGAAAGACTTGAAGCAGATTGTGCATTTAAACGGCTTCTCACCCGAGTGGCTTCGTATGTGGCGCAAGCGGCTTGATGAATCTAAGAATCGCTTTGAGCAGATGTGACACTTGTAGGGCCTCTCACCTGAGTGTATCCGAAGATGGTTGTACAAGATGGACGATTGGGAGAAGCTTTTTTGACAAACTCGGCAGTGGTAGGGCTTCTCCCCTGAATGGACCCGGTGGTGGCGGCGTAGACTAGATGATTGAGTGAACGTCTTGTGACAGATGTTACATTTGTGGGGTAATGAAGACCGTTTCTGGGTGGCTTTGGATGTAGCTTGATCTTTGGGCTCTTCAGAAGGTGTGTAGTGGAAGTGAAACCGAGCCACTTGAGGTGATGATGACTGTTCAAATGTGTTATTTGACAGGTTGTCTGGAAAGTGAACAGATGGTGTAGATATGGCTGAATCCACAGGGGGATTGTTCTGCTTGATTGTTGCCGGTGACAACAGTTCAACTTTAAGATCCGGTTGGTTTTCGGCGGGAAATGGAGTGACATATTTGAGCTGACATTTTTTCCGATGCTTGCACATGTTTGAACGGTCCGAGAAGAGCCGTTTACAAAATCTGCAAGGGAACTGACGACGGACCTTTGGTTTCTCTTGGACTTGTGCTATGCATAGGACTTGTCCACCCTGTTTAGTTGGTTGCTGTGTAATCAACTGCAAATTTTGCTGGGACATGTCTTGCTGAGGTTTGACAGATTCACTCGATAAATCAGGTGAAAAAGAGAACGCTTTGCTGTTGGTGTTTGGTTCAGTGTTATTCTGGTCCAGACCAGGTGTGGTACCACCATCGCAAATAGATGTAAGACTGGAGTGATCAGCCTTCATATGTAAAATAAGTTCACTGGTCTGCTGAAAAACTTGGTAACAATGGGTACATTTAAAAGGTTTCTGATCTGCAACTTCTTTATTTTCACTCTCATTTTTATTATTATTATTATCATCATTATCACCATCGACCAGATGATTTCTAAATGCACCCTCTTCAGAAGACCTCTGGAATTCATTACCCAGCAATAGAACTGAAGATACCAATGGTGGTGTAGCTGATGGCAATTTGTTCAGGGTGTGTATCTTGACATGACGGTAGAGGCTGGAGTGATTTGAAAATGATTTGTCACAGACCTGGCACATAAATGGTTTCTCCTTGGAGTGGATCCGACGGTGGTTCGACAATATGGAGGACTGGGAAAACGCTTTCCCGCACACCTCACATGAGAAAGGGCGTTCTCCTGAATGGACGCGGCGGTGTCGGGCAAGACTAGAAAGGTGGGAGAAGGTCTGCTCGCAGACGGAGCAAGTAAATGGCCTTTCCCCTGTATGGATACGGATGTGGCACGATAAATACGTAGAACGTGAGAAGGACTTGTGGCAGATATCACAGGAGTAGGGTTTCTCACCAGAATGGGTCCGGCGGTGACGAGAGAGGCTTGAGTGGTCAGAAAACTTGCGCCCACAAACGGGACACTCAAAAGGTTTGCATCCAGAATGAATCCGCCGGTGGTTGACCAGTGTTGATGACTGAGAGAAAGATTTCCCGCATTCTTCACAGGAAAATGGCTTCTCACCGGAATGAATACGTTTGTGCCGAATTACACTAGAGATCTGGGTAAAGTTTTTGTAGCAAATATCACAGGCAAACCTGGAAGGCGTTAGCTTTTTACCTCGCATGTTGTTTTCAACTTGAATGAGAGATTACTTTGTGCTGTTGAATTTGTGTGCTTGGTATCTTTTCAAAAGCACCAATTTTATATATATATATATATATATATATATATATATATATATATATATATATATATATATATATATATAAGGGTATGTGTAAGAAACAGCAAAAGGAATAGAGTAGGTGCAAAATAAACTGAAAAGATAAAGAAATAAATAAGACCTCCTCCAAACGTTATCAAAATTTGGATGGCAGAAATTTAGGTCTCAAATTGTGAATAGATTTTATGATTAAAAATGTGTTAATTATAACAAATTGGATTTAACATTTTTATCCAGTAATTAAGTATTATTAATAACAGATATTTTTAACAAATGCACACACACACGCACACTCATGCACTCGCTCTCATGTGTACACACACACACACACACACACACACACACACACACGCAACAACGTGAAAAAGAAAAAAAATAAGTGGTGCTTTATCTAAAATACACACACTCTTACAAAAGGTTAAAAGCAATTTCTTGTTGGGTGGTTTTATATATAATATTATATTTTTTTAAAAAATTGAACAAATGTTTTTAAAACCCTTTATAGTCAATATTTACATAAGTTACTTTTAAAAAGATGTTAAATTTTCTTAAAATATTTATATACATGTATAAATATATAAAATTAAATAGAAAGGGAAGCCAGTGAGGAGGTAATCGATAAAAAGATAAAAACTGTAACAAAAAAAGATATTTCCATTTTCCTTTTTTTTTTTTTTTTTTTTTTTGCTTTTTGGTATTTAGAAAAAAGAATTGAGTAAAAATCATTAAAAAAAAAAATGTAAGTGGATAATGTAAATGCTCATATCTTCCCCCAACAGTCTTTGTGGAATGAGGGAGGAATAAAAAAAAATGACATTATTCTATGTATAAAAATACAATTGTGTTAGAATCCATCTTGGAGTGGGTGTTTGTACTTTCATTAATCTTCTGCCACAAAATTTCCATGGATTTCATTGTAGCAATTCCACGGTCTAAAAACCACAAACCTGGATTCTCAGCTCTTCTGCAACCTAGAGAGAGAGAGAGAAAGAGAAAGAAAAATTAATCTTTTGCAAATAAGCATATAATTTTGTAAGAATATATATATATATATATATATATATATATATATATATATATATAGATTATATTTAACTTTTTAAATATCAATTTTTGTCCCTACATTGAAAAGTTTTCTTACTAAAATTTCCAGTTTTCAGGGGTATCCCTGAAGACTGTAAATTTTCTTAGTAAAATTAATAAAAATTCTTTCTTAGTAAAAATTTTACCAAGAAACATCGATGATGGGATAAAAATTGATATTTAAAAAGTTGAGTAATCTTTTCATATAATATCATAAAAATCATTAATGTTTTATTTTTAATATGACTTTAATATTTTTAATATTGAGCACTATATATAAAAATATCTGCTGTTTCTAAATCTTTATATATATATATATATATATATATATATATATATATATGTGTGTGTGTGTGTGTGGGTATGTAGAAAATAGGAAAGAAATATGTTAGGTAAATAATCCAGGGTCTTTAGTATTTTTGTTTCTATTTTTAAAAAACAGTGCTCCATACAGAAGTAGAGCTTAGATTATAATTATTTTTTAAAAAATATGATTCCTTTGCTACATAAGAGTTCTCATGTTTCAAAAACGAGAAGGAAGCCATCAATATAATTATTAAAATTAAATTGAATTAGTAACAAGCCCTGTTTCATCCTCAAGTGAAAATTTATTCGCTTAAGGATGAAGCAGGGCTTGTTACTTTAATTCAATTTAATTTTTAATAATTATATTGATGGTTTCGCCTTGTTTTTGAAACATGAGAACTCTTATGTAGCGAAGGAATCATATATTTTTTAAAATAATTATAATTATATATATATATATATATATATATATATATATATATATATATATTCTTACAATCTAAAAATATTTTCTGGATTTAAATAAACTGCAATGGGCTGATAAGCTGCAGAAAATGAATGAATCAATCAATCTAATCAACATGAACAATAAACTTATTTTTTTGAATAGAACAGAATATCTCATTAGAAAGTAGGGGTTATCAGGCTGCTAAACACATTGCTTTTTTCCTACTTTAGTAGCTTTTCTCTGGGACATTGTTATTTAACTGAGTTAAAAAACAAAATTCTTTCTTACATACAACACTTGCGTTAATTGTACAGATAAAAATCCATAATTATTTATACGAAAAATATAAAAAATGCAGTTGCAAAACTACTGAAGTATTTTCTTCATTTTTTGATTGTACAAGTAAACTCCCTCCTTCTCTTAGCTAGGGGTCACTAGCAAGATAGGCCAGGGTCTCTAGTTTTAGTTGGTAACCAGAAGAAAGGAGAAGGGAAACTTAGTATTAAAAACCAGTTATGTGTGGAGAAAGTTATAAAGTAAGCAGACATGGCTAAGCATAATTGACAAAATTCTCAATAAACAATAATAAGAAAAAGAACAGGGCAAAATAATGCAAGTCAAAAGCAAAACAACTATAAAACAGTAAATAAGCCAAAAGTAAGAATTGTGTTCATGAACTAAAGGGATACAGTCGAGTGGTTATAGCATTCTGACTTCAAGGTAAGAAAGAACAAAACAATGGGGATAAGATCAAGAATTGTTGTTTTTTTTTATTGGTTAGAAAGAAATCCCAGCATGCATCTGTAGGATTTGTCTATAAATTTGGGAAGGCTGAGGGTTTTAGTAATCATTCCCACCAGATTGATTTTTACATCATGGGGTGTTTTGTATGTCCCTGGTGAATATGTGGTATTGTGGTATATGTGGGATTGAGTGGTGATGGATAAGTTGTGGTGATTGATTATATTGTGTTGAATGAATGGGTCGTGATTGTGATTAACGAGGACTAGGATAGTTACTGAGTACCAGCCTTTCTCCATTTCCCCTTCGGCCTAGTGCCACAATTATGTGTTTAAAATATAATAAATATCCATTCCCACCAGACTGGAACCAACACTAGCAACCACCATAAACATTTGCTTGTTATGAAAACCATAGCTGCAACACTTTGGTGAGCCCTATACTATTACACAGGAGTTTCTACAGGGTAAAACAACAAACAAACAAAAACAATTTCCTCATGAAAAGAAGATGTAAGGCAAGAGAAACATGTCTCTGCAGAAGGATGTTGAGAATGCCATGGACATAATGTAATCAATAAGGAAGTTTTAAGGAAAATGCAAAACAAAAAGGACAATTTTACTTAGAATCAGAAAGAGACAGTTGAAATTTCTGTGACACAAAACATGGAAAGAAGGCTTGGAGAATTTGATACAAAAAAGACAAACTGGAGACAAGAAGGAGATAGAAAACAGCAAGTAACCTACCTAATGATCTTGTGTAAAAATGGATGGCAGGACAGGTACTGGGAGGGATAGTGAGGGGATAAACAAAGCTTGGTGTTACATGGAGGATAAGAATTTGTGGAGAGCTATGATCATCCACATCCTGTAGGGAGACGGCATATAAAAGAATACAAGAGAATGCTTAAAAGTTCTTGAACCAACCCATTTCACAAAATGGCGAAATATCAGATTTGTTTTTGGAAGAGATCCTTGGTCTGGCCGACAATTCTTCAGCACCCACTTTTGTAAATATATAGCTCTCAGCTCATTTGCAACATAGAGAAAAAAAAAGTATATCAATCCCATAATGTAATTCTTCTTCGATGTGTCATGACCCTTCAGGACATTAGCTCTCCACAATTTCCAGCCGTTTTTAACTCTGAATAAATTTTATTTCTTCTAAGCCTTGCATTGTCACCCGTTTACTCAAGCTCACTAGGTAGGTTATGCATTGTTTTCCTTTGTCTCTCTTGCCATCAATATATCCTGTGAGTATCAAATTTTTCAAGCCCTCTTTCCTCATTATGCGATCTAGAAATTTCAAGAGTCTCTTCTTGATGTTCGGTATAAGTGTAATTTTTTTTAACCAAAAAAAATGACGGTAATATTTTTTTTTTCACCTCAAACTCATAGTAGTACTACTGTTGAGATAAAAAAAATGTATATTTATTATTGTTATGTAATGGGTGACATGTGAGAAATTTCAGAGTATATTTATATTAGATTCTTTTAAAAATAAAATAAGAAGGCATTTTAGCAACACTAGAAATTACTACCACATGGGCTAACTGGTCATCCAGTTGCCAAACAACAGACAATATTTTGGGAATAGCCTCAGTGAGAAAAGGTCAACATGGCCAGCAGGGACTCACCAGGCTTTCACGATTAAATGCGATCAACCAATGCTAGTTATAATTAGGACAGGAATCTGATCTGCAAAATAAATTACAAAGGACTCCTTGTTTGAGATGGTTTAAGAAAAATCTGGTTCTTTCTAAAAGACTAGGTGATTCTAGAAGTGTCTCTGGACGGATCTGGAAGTGCCCCCCCCCCACACACACACACCAAAGGCAAAAGATAAAAGGAGGAGTTGTGGTATGAATGGGGAAGAGTCTTCTGGTGAGTTTTTTGCTGAGGCAGTTAAACTGGGAGGAGGAAGATTGTAAGCGAAGAGTGTGGGCTGACCGTGGGTTAGCCGATTATGGACTGAATTAAGATGTCACCCCTATACAGGGCAGTTTAATAGCTTGCTGCTACAACAGAGCCGCTATTCATCTTTCTCTCTCTCACTTGACAATTCACATGAGCAGGAGAATAAATAAGGAAGAAATTAATTGACGCAGTCAACAAATTTGTATCCACGTGCCTTTTTTATAAAATGCAACAGAAGCGACTACATCACATATTGTGTTTTAGAGCCATGAGTGGCATTGTTACATTATATATATATATATATATATATATATATATATATATATATATATATATGATAACATAAATTAATCTTAAACTAAAATAAAATAATTATATTATAAAAAATTCAACAACAGTAACAACAT